ATTATGTAAATACGCAAATATCACTTTAAGAATTCAATATATATTACAAGTTTATAAATTAAAACCTTCCATAATTTTTAATATTGATATACTTGATCAATAATATTTTCCGGGGGCAATTTAGCTAATACAAAAATAACAGGATTTAACAATAGCATGGTTTGATATAATAACAATTGTTATTTATAAGAAATAGCACAAAGCTAATTATATTCAAGCGAACAAAAGATTATATTGCAAGACAGTATATATTTGAACTTCTTGAACTTGATGAGATAAGAAAGAAAGCGTTCAATAAAAGAAAAGACATTGTACATAGACATAGCGTTGAATAGCAATGAGCGAATAAATGCAAATTATTCTATGGGCTATTCGAAAAATTTAATTAGCGGAAACTTCGTGGCAGTCGTGAGAGTACCCGATGAATCTTAAAAAGCGATAGCATCCGGATCTTCGTTGAATTTTATAATTACAAAGTTTCCAAATTTCATTATTATGCGAAGAACAAGAGAACTGACAAGAGAAAGAGAAAGAGAGAAAGATAGTTTATTTTATCGATGAGGAGCGAATTATATGACAAATGTTTCACGGGAAGTATTTGTGTCTACATTAAATTGTCAACACAAAGTGTGCGAAAATCATCGGATTATCGTTTTGAGCAAAATTGCATACAATTCTGTTTGCACAACAGCTAGCGAATTAAAAAGATGAATGAGCGTTTATTCGTAAATGGTATATAAATTTTTAATAATGCATGGATTTATCTGAATAATAAATATTTGAGTACAATCTCCATCTGAATTATCCTTTACACTAATTATTTGCGAATTCATATAATATATAATTAATAAACATGTTCCGGAGAAACATATAAAGCAATGTTTTTATGTAATTATTTGAATAAATAATGATGTCCAATAATTTAAATAATACTTGTATACTTTACGTTGCACATCGTAAATAATGATTATTTACATAAAACATCCAAATAGTTAGTTAATTAATTATTCTGTTCACTAAATTAATTGATTAAGAATCGACTCTTGTTTTCGCTTGTAAAGACAAATATCTTAATAGAAAATCTAAAAAAAGTAGCACGCGCAGAGAATTCAATTTCGGATATCCTTTCTCAATGACCTCACAAGTTATTTCGAGCGTAAAAAAAAAGGAAAGACGTAAATTTTTGCCACCCGGAACAACGCGTAGAATTTGCCAGTATCAACCTTCATAACGCTATGAAACTATCAAATTCCCGTCGGCCCTAGCAAAATGAACGTCACTATGCTGTGCAGGTTTTTTTGACGCGTCGCGATATTTTGGCAAAATGGCGAAACGCTGAACGCGCGGTACAAATGGTCGCTTCGCTTGCGGCTTTTGTGAGTGGAACCGTTGTAAAAAAGCTGGAAATAGCTGACAGCCAGGCTATCCAAGGCTCGAGAAAGCGTATTTCATCGATCCGTTGTTTATTCGAACCTGCGACAGTGCTGTCGAGATCTGAACAAGATTTTCAGAAAAATTCCGCGCGTGGTCTCGTCAAAAAAGCTTTTCCGAAACTAAACTTTTGTCATAATATGCCCGATGTGTTTTCACCACTCAGAATAATCCACAACTTCTCAAGAAATCACTTCTTACACTTCGCGAAGTAGAAATCTGACGAGACATTATTCCAAAAAATGCGTTAACACTTGTTTTAACTGTTACGCAATAGTAACATAAATAATATAAAGTATTCATTGAACAGTTAAGATTAAATATTACCTTTTTTATCTTTAAATTATTATAATAAAATATTAGAAATATAAAAAACTAAGGAATACAATATTCTTTCTTTCATTTGTACAAGCAAGAAAAAAAGTAATGCAAGGAAAAAATGGTTGAGTATATTCCAACGAGCCAATTATGTAAAAAGATCGTGTAACATTTCTCAACACTAATTCCTAGATTATGTTTCAATGTTTTAGATACATTTTGCCATTACATCCTACGTCCACATTTATTCAGTAAAATAAAATATACTTCCTCTCGAATTACGGTAAATTATATTGTTGAGCGCTTTGTTAACAGTAAATAATGTTACCGATGCGCCGTATTTCACCCATGTTCAACGCTCCGGCAACGCGCGGCAATACACGCTTCCTCTGCGCTTGCCGCATTTCTAGCACATGCATGCGCAGGACATGTTCAACACGTAGCACATACCGTACAGCAGGCGAGGGCCCCCTGATGGGTATTAAGTCGTCTTAAATAGCGAGGGCGGCACCCCAAACTAACGTGAAAACTAAGCTCACCAACTAAACGCTCTCGCTGGACGTGTAATTCCTTAATATTTACAGGCAACGCAATTGCCTTTTACACGACAATTTTCCTCTTTGGATAAATTGCCTATTTTTTATGTACGTTGCAACAGCTATTTAGAATTCATAAAATTATGACAGAAAATTTATATGAATCCATAATATAATATACACGAAGAAATAAAATAATTTGCAATTAAATGTATAAAATATCTATAACTGAATTCTGTCAGATTTATTTAATTTCTTTACAAAATTTATTCGAATTATATCTTTCAAAATTCATCGTATGATCAACTGATAATGGAGAGTGAACGTAGCCTATTTGCCAAATGGTAAACAGGTGCGATAAAAAGGCAATTGCGTTCGATAAAAACGAGTAGCTTTTAATGCAACTGTAATTTCCGAGCGAGGTAAATGAGGGAGTAACACAGCTGGAGACGTCGCGTTGCTAATCTGAACGGAATTAGAAGACGCTCGTGGCCAGACACTCTTGAAATTACATCGGGTGAAACAATTCCCTCAAATCACCGACTAAACGAGGCATATCGCGCGCGCATACCCTATCTGCCCTTATCGCACGACGATAAACGAGTAATGACAACAGTAGTTGTTTGTACTAATGCTGAGCTATATCAGTCGCGACCATCTTCACACGTATGTATACATGGCTTGTACACGGCACGTAAAATTTCCCTTGTGCCATTATGTAGTATCTTCCCTCTTAGAAATTACTTTTAGAATTACGGAAGTTACAGAGAAACAAGTTACTCCTAGAGTTTCAAAGAAAAATGTAACGCGTTCATACAAAATAACATTTAACAGGAATTTCATTCTTTCAAGAAGTCCAGCTAAAAGTGCATTTACTAAAAATTTTTACACAGAAAAAAAATTACATCAACAACATTCGTCTGACTAGATTGAATCCTATTAATTCAACAACAGTATTAATGAAATAAATACGTCGCACCTTATTTTAACTAATATTGTCATTGAATTAATAAGATTATTCTAATCTGAATGCTGTTGATACATCTTTTTTCGTGTACGATTTATAAAATTCTTAAAATATCAGTTTTTTTTTAAATCTGATTATAATGATTCTTGATAATAAAATCTTTGTGAAACAAAATTCTTCTCGTTAAGTATAAATATTCAAAGAAACAAAAATTATTCAAAATTTTATAAACTGTTAACATGTTTTATTATTTTTTAAATAAAATTTGAATAATACTTATAATAAAAAATTTAAATAATTAAAATGTAATCGGCAAATTTTAAGAAAATTAATTTTAAATAAAAAATAATGAATGAAATAACACAAATAAATTATGAATAGAATAGCGAGGTTTAATTTGATCCTTATCAGTCAGTGATATATTACATAATGGCCGAGAATTCACATGGGATGTTAGTAATTTTCGGTACGGCCTTCTTTGTTTAGTACAAACTGTTTGCGCACAAATGCAACCGCACACAATTGCAGTCGTGCAATACATTCGGTCACGTGCGGTCCATTGCGCGTTGCATCACTGCAGAAGCCAGGGTGTAGCTCCACAGAGCCGCAACGTTATCGCGTCTGGACCGGAGCGCATTCTCCGCCACAAATTAAGCTAATCAAACAAAATAATAATGGTCGTGCAAAACAGAGTGCCATGTCCTACGGCCGTAGAATGTTTCGACCGCGCAAATACCGAAGTGATTATAGTGTGTACTATTGTAGAAACATTGTGTTTATTGCAATTGTCGATATCAAAATATAAAATAACTTGTAACATAAAATTCAAAATTGAAAAAATAATGTTTCAATAAACATAGAAATAAAAATAAATCAGAAATATAGAAAGCTGATAATTAAATTTACATACCTTAAACAAATTTTTTAATACAAAAGGATCTCTGCATTGTATATTACTTTTTATTAATTAACCATATGTTAATTAATTTCCGATTGCATCGATGTATTCTCTCAGCCAGAGTTTGAACATCGATTCGATACTCTACATAAAATCAGGAGGAGGAGGAGTGCACGATTATGTACAAACTCCATGTAGCATAGAACAGCAAATTCGGCGATCATTAATTTATTCCGTAACTACCTATCCGTGAAAATCTACATTCATGGCTTGATGGATCGTGTATATCTAATAGTGTGCGCCCCTTCTCTTTCTGAAGGTTATCCCTAAGCCGCAATTGTTGATGTTTGTTTTGATAGAAATTCATAGAAGTGGTACGTTATATTGAAATAAGATTTTCGTAACTACTAAATAACATCACTGCAAGGCAGACAATCTCAAAAAGAATAGTATCGTATTTCATAATTTGTACTAAAAATTTAAAAATCTAATTGTAAGAATTATTTAATTTTAGAAATTATAATTGAGAATTTCATTACAAATACGTGTAACGACTTATTAAAGAATAAGTTTAAAAATTTACAAAATTGAAAATTTTATTAATATAATTAGAAATAAAAATTATGAATAAAAATATTTATATATAAAATTGATTTATTAATGTAATTAATAAAAAAATATAATTTTGATAAAAATCTGATTTACCTTCTACTTAAATATGCTAAATGTTCTTTCAGAATTAAAAAGCATGCCGAGCAAATAAATATTATCGTTCATAAGCGCATTGCAGATAAATATCAAAGACAAGGAGGAGGACATAAACATAATTTGCATATAAAGTAAAACTCACCGTTGTAGAACGATGTAGAACGGTGTAAAACGTTGTAGGACGTAGTCACAAAAATTAGAAAATGATAGATCTGTAAAAAAAAAACAAAAAAATTTTGACGTTTTAAAAAATTGTTCCATAAACATTAACAAATCACTGAACCATTAAAGAATCAATTTAAAAGTTGGCAAGAAAATTGCAAACTTTACAATTACAATATTACAAATAAATATTATACATAAAATTTTTTATTTATAAAATTAATAAGAAGCATAATCTTACTGCGTTTACAATGATAAGCTCTTTTTTGTAAATATAAAATTTAGTTCATGCGATGCAATAAATATGAATCCTTTTTATTATTTAATTTACAAAACTGGATTACAAATATTTATATTTTGCTCATTATAACGATATCAAAATTCCATAAATGAATAAATAATTAATCATGAAATATAATATTAAAATTTACTCACCATCCAATGTACAGCCGTTACAATCCATTGATTCTACCACACTTCGTGGTTCTAAACACATGTTGCTCGACGTCCACATTTATATAATATTAATTAACACTCACAATACACAATACACAATACGACCAATTAATTCATACGATATTCCCGAGTTTTTCAACGCGAAACACGACGATCGCTTGTAACTTTACCCAATATTCCCGCTATTACTGAAAAACATATTCGTTATTTTATGGTTTAACATACTCGAAAGACGGAAAAATTTCGGATCGATGCTTTGGCGAGCACGACATGTTCGACACGACGAATGCGATTAGTATTACGAATGTCAAGAAACTGGTGATCGAACGCACAAAATAATACTCTACGACGATCGTCACTCGATTCCAGACTACCGACATAGCCATGACACGATGAAAAAATTCAAGAATATATATAGAGGCAACTTCGCGGACTGACGCTTGGCGTTTCGACAAGCAATGTTCGACATGACGCGACGGATGCGATTTGATGATTCGGCGAGCAATGTCCAACATAACACGACGAACGCGACTTGACGATTCGGCCAGCAATATTCGACATGATACGAGCGCAATTGTCTTTACGAACATCGAGAGACTGGTAAACGCGATCGTACGCACTAAATAATGCTTCACGAAAATCGCCCGTGGCTCGATTCAGTAGTATCAACATGGTGAAGAAGCGCTGCAATGTATAAAGAACGGAGACAACTTCGCACCGACGCTTCGACGGAGCAACGTTCAAGATGACGCGACAAACGCGACTTGACGATTCGGCCGGTAATATTCGACACGATGGGCGCAATTGTCTTTACGAACACGGAAAGACTGATAAACACGATCGCACGCGCTAAATAATGCTACGAAAATCGCCCGTAACTCGATTTCGTATTATCAACACGGTCAAGAAGCGCTGCAATGTATAAAGAACGGAGGCAACTTCACACCGACGCTTGGCGATTCGACGAGCAACGTCCGACATGACGCGGTGCGACGAACGCGTTTGATGATTCGGCAAGCAATGTCCGACATGACGCGACGAACGCGATTGTCTTTACGAACATTGAGAGACTGGTAAACACGACTGCACGCATTGAATAACGGAGGCAACTTCGGACCGACGCTCGGTGATTTGGCAAATAATGGCCGACGCGACGCGACTGACTTTCCAAGTGCCGAAAGACTGATAATCGCGATTGCGCACAGTAAATAACATTCCGCAGCAATAGCTCGTCCTTTGATTCGACTCTCCCGACATTTGTTGCGAATAATATTTACTTTAATAAACATAAACACGCGTAAGACACAGGACGATACTTACTCGCGTCCAACACCACCGCCGTCTTCTCGCGAACTACTTCGTGACGCGCAATAGATCTCGTGACGTCACGATAATCACGTGATCCGCGTGATCGCGCTCAATTCAGATTCAATACTGCCGCCAGTTTCAAAACATATCTATAAAAAAATACATTGCGCGCCTAGTTTGCTTATTATGTATTCTCGGAATTTTTATTCTCTATCATCGTATTTATAAAAGATTCTTGACCTTTACAATGCCTGGCGAAAGAAAAAAACTTCATTCGGGAATATTACTCTCTAAAATATATTATTACAAATAATTAATGGTAATAATGAATATATCTTGATTAACACAATAATACACATTTCAAATTGCGTAATATAGATCGTGTATATTTTACATTGTAAACAATATACATGAAAACTCAACACAGTAGTCTACGCCAATAGTGTAAATGTAATTGCACGGCTATCGCAGCCGTAGGAAACCATAAACATCGCTCGTGCTTCCGTCGAGGCGCCGACTATTTTGGAACCGCGGCAGTGTAATTTTCCAGGAAGCGAAATGGTCGACGCGTCATGATTGAGTAAATACAAACTGCGCGTAATTCCGCGTCGCTTTTATTTTGAAATGGAAATAATTTCATAAATAATTCTTAATTTGTACGACGGCGATCGCGCAGCGTTATGTTTACGCTTTATTCGATATTTTCGACTAAATATTGACGATGTGACGTGTCGCGACACAAAATAAACATTCGAGCTAAACATTCGAATGAAATCGTACCAAAGCTTCTGTAATATTGTATTGCCTGAAACACTTTTCAGATAAATTAGTAACTTACATTTTGCAAATATTAAATGTAATGATGTACATTTTCTTCTGGTAATGTAATAATTGAAAAAATACATATTTAAAAAATGCTGTGTAATAATCTAAAATAAAAAAGCGAATTTAACAACTGCATAATTTAAATAAATAATTTGTTTCAATTTTTGAATTACAATGTTATATGTAATATAAAATAATATTATCTTAATTTAGATTAAAAAACATTATTGAGGTTCTTACAATTTTGAAAGAAATTGTAGCAGAAAATATATAAGATATTTACGGCTTATGTCAACCGAAATTAAACGACTTTCTTGAAGAAGCAGTAAATCTTTGTAACTCATTTAAGTATTTTTTAAGATTAAATCGTGCTCTTAGAGTTTACGATTTACAACAAAAATTGACCTGCAAGAAATTATCGGATTTAAGGCAGAAGAGTGCTTATTGTATGCATTGGATATTAAAAATAATTTTCTTTTTAATAGAAATTTTTCAGTGTAATTTATTTTGCACAATTTATTTTATGCCATAGATGAATTAACTCTATTAACTCCACATCTTAATATTGTACCTCAACTAATATTTAAACTTTACATACTTTTATTAAAATTTCTCTCTAAGATATAATACGTTTCTTTTGACAAATTGAGTTTAATGTAATGCGGTCTCGTGGCCTAATTATCGGACGGTTCTTATCCTTATATTCATATTACATTTGAAATAGTAATAAAGTATATTATATCATTTATCCATAAATATGCCGATAAATATGTCGTTCCAATTTATACAACTTATTCGTACATATATATTCTTTACAGTTTCAAATTTTTATTCGCAATTTTTTATTAGTTTAATCTTTGATCCAAAGGCTTGTATCACACCAGTTTTCGGCGCCGAAAATATAAATCGCAAAGTTATCGAACTTCGCAAAACCGCGACTTCTTGTTTCATTTTTCATTCGACACTGAAAGTTGTGCAAGCTCGCACGCGCGATCCGCGGGCGCCGAACTCGCGAGATATGGTAGGAAAGCTCATTTTTAACTTTCGCAATGGCGAAGGAGAATAGAGTATATTTTTGGGCAGGCAAAGTTTCAGGAATTTCTACTTCAACAAACTCGATGGGGGGCGGGGAGGGAGGGGGGAGTTGCGGAATTGAACTTCTCACTAAAGCTTTAAGACGCGGTGCGCTTCCTTCGCTAATGCCTTCTCGCTATCGCTGCACTTTTCAGATACAAAAGAGCGAGTACAACACTACTAAACAGAAATTAAATAAGAATTAAACTTTGTACAACATTTCAAATTAATTTCAAATTAATTTTCTAAACAATACAACTTTTCTAACACACTTGTTTTTTGCGATTATTATTTATTATTAGTAAAGTATATGTATAAGTCATGCATACATATTATTATCGATTATTGTCTCATTGTGAACTATTTATCATAATTCTTATAATAATTTTTATAATATTTTTACAAGACATTAATATTTTTATTATATCGATTGATTTACATAAATATATGTACATTAAGGAATAAGTAACTTTTAACTATTCGAGAATTCTTAACGTTTCTTTTTAACGTCTGCGTTAAGGGCACCATTCTCGTAGCAGGAGAGAGGCCAATACCCCCCTTTTACATCTACATAATACTTTACTTATCCTACTTTTGGCCCTCCGTTTGGAAATCGAAGCTTGCAAAGTCGCTTCTGGTGAGCGAAGCTCTGAAAACCGAAGTACCCGGAATCGAAAGGAGTAGCGATTTTGCGTAGTACTGGCAAGGATTCTGTGATATACAGGATGGCCCTTTCGTATGCCTCGCACGTTTGCTCGTATTACATATGTATGATGCGCATTTTATCCATGCTGTAGGATACGACGTACACGAGCGTGTATACATGTACGTAATGTCGCTGTCACGCGATCGAATATTCAATGGTATTCTCGGTGAACCAGGGTCAAAATGAGGAAATATGCGTCAACGAATAATAATTCGTCGATATCCGACTGTATAATTTCCATCAAATTTGACTAACAAAATATGCATGATCCTGTTAGTATACCAAAATGACAATAATTATGTCGAACAAAAGTACATTGCACAGTATAATATTTTTCTACTAAAAATCATATTATTCACCGACTTTCTAGAATAACAATTCTATTGATTCTCTTTTTTTGTACATGAGAAAAGAGACTACGAAACATCTCTGGAAACAATAACGCACAACTGTATTCTCACATAAGCTTGAAATATTACTCAGTGGTTGAGAAAGGAGGATGTTGGTACCCTTCCGAGAATTATATGGCAGAAAATACTTTGTCCTTATATACCAAAGTTCTAATTTGTTTGCTTTATACGTAATCCTCTCAGAAAGAGTAATATCTAAAAAAGAAACACATTTTATTGCTGATTTATATTATGAATTTTCCATCTCGGAATTATGATGAACATATTTACGTAGTGTATTAATAAATAAAATGAATTATTACTATACTGACAATGGCTTTATCATAAACAGAAGCGAGCAACATGAAATAATAAACTATGAAACAAAATTAAACATTCATGTTTCATTTCCGGAATTATAATTGTTGAAATAAGAGATTAATTTTATTTTAGAGATTAAAAAATGTAATATTTTCATCCCCAGTTCGATAATATAAAGGTACAGAAAATTGTATCTTACAAATATCACATTTCCATCACAGTTAAATTCACTCCTACATATCTGCAGCGCCGCGAAATCTGAGCTTACCGAAATCATACGAATTTCAATCCCAGCTTTATCCGTAGCAAGTTGTTGATGAAATTTTTCACATTCCCGCGAAGTCAACGCGACAGGAAGTAAATCAAGGGGGAAAACTGCGAGCAAGGTAAGTGCTTCTCCGGACATGCTAGAAATATGGGTTTCTGGTAGCGACGAGAGTGGGTGGCTAACGTCCCCTGGGAACACGAACGGAAAGGATTCTTTACGGACACTCTCGATAGGAAACAAGTCGCAGGAACGCGTGAATTCCCACGCGTGACATTGCCCGTGTTACATATGTACATACGACTCTCGGTGTAGTCTCCCACGGGACTATACCCTTGTCCAGGATATTACCTGTGGAGAGAAAGTTCGCCCAGCTCCGCATCGCGCGGACAAAGTAATTTATTATCATTAAATTATTTACCGCACCGCGTGTCGTCAAGAATCGCAAAACAAAAGAGCAGTCAAATGTTGGATAATTCACAATTTTTTACAATAAATTTTCATTTCTTTAAAAAGCTTTTTCTTGTAAAATAAAGCAACGATCTATTTCTTGGTTTGTGCAAATTTCAAGTTTTATTGTAAAATATATTCAAATTATAAAAATAATGAACAATTTAATGTATTTTATAAAATTAATTTTTTATATAAAATTATGTTTTTTTGCAGTGTCATTAATTTTATAGTAGGAATAAAATTATGTGAAATAAAAGTCATTTTATAGTACAATTTATTAAATACTCTTCAAATTGATATCTTAATACATATCAAATATTTGCAGCTGCGACATTATTAGCGGTGAAAATAAAATCTTTTTTGCCACAATTTTTATTTCTCTTACGAGTTTTGCAAATAGTGATCACGATCCTGGAATACGTACAGCTGCAATACGACAATTCTTTATAGATTTGGAATGGCACAGTAATGACCTCGTGGGCTTACATGGTGAAAGGAGTTTCCTGATCTTATTACTTTGTTGATCCTTCACACGTTCGTCCGAGGATCAGGATTGTGATTCATCGAATTAGAGGCAGCCGGTGTGTACCACAATCGGCTCATCCGCTATCTGTCGACTAGCAGAAGGTGTCATTCATTCACGCCACTATTCATTAAATTCTATGTATGTTATATGCTATTACTGTTAAACGTCATATGTATTAAAGTTTGATATATAAAGCTTTTGCTGAAATTTATCAGGATATCTTTCTGTTTAGATAAATAATTATAAATTTCTGATGTAGTTCTGATATGAAAATTGTTACACGCAGTTGCAATTGAAAAATAAATTTCCAAACAGATAAACTGTTGATTAAACGGCGTTCCGGAGATTTTGCTCTGCCCGTACTGTATATTATCATAGCTGTTTAGCTGGTGCATGAAACTACGCAAACGCGAACATTATGTGGTAATATGGAGATATTTTTATAAC